AGAAGGAAGCTAAGAACAGATTAGTCAAAATGTAAAAGCCAAAGAAATCAAAACTAGATGACAGCAGGTACAATGGAAATTTTAAAGAAGAAAGCAGAAGCCAATTTTAGTGACAAATTCTTAAATGTAATAAATTGCAAATTCCAGAAAAGTATCAGGAAAGACAATATTACAACATCTGCAAGTAATTTGATGGTGCTGTACTATGCCAAACTATGGAATTTACTTAGGGAGATTGATGTATTAGAGTATCTTATTGTCCCTATGAAGAGTCTGAGGGGACCACAGTCAGGTCGCAGTCCAGAGAGAATTTGAAGAAATGACATGGTTCTGGATCCGTAAAGAGTTGGCCAGCAATGCTATGAAGGTCAATGAGCTCTTCAACATATGATTATATCAATGCATAGGTCTGAGTGTTAAATAAGGGCATTAAAAATCACCTAAACCCTTACAGCCTTTGGACATTGGAAGTAGAGAGGGAGAACATATCAGCCCCATACACACAATCAAACCCACAACCGTGATTGTGTGAAGCACCGGTAATATCCATTGAACTACCATGCATGTAATTCACCCAACTGGCTTAATTTACATACACAATTCTTCATCAATCAGAGGTAACGTCCAAAATGCTTGGATTAACCTTTAAGGCTTGATTGCACGATTATGTATTTACTTTTATCTGAAATAAATGGCAATGACAAGCAGTTTTGTTGCAGCCATCAATTTGAACCCACTAAGATTTGTATATGAGTGTTTTATGAGTATTTCATATAGTGAATCTAATCAGTATACTCTACAACACATAGGCATTTCATTGCAAATCATTCTGCAGACATTTATAGCTGCGACCAAATTTATTGGCAAAAATTCTGGATTTTTTCCTCTCTGCTTTCTCAGCTGTAAATCGGGCTAATACAAGTGTGAAGACCAAACATTTATTTTTTTCACGTTCAATTTATTTTAGATGACAGGGAGAAAAACATTGCTGGGCTATCAATATAACACAACTGTAGTTCAAAAAGTAACAATATAGGGTTTTATAATAAAAACAATTTTTAATAATACCATTTTTAAAAATTGTATTATTAATAAATGTTTTATTATTATTATTATTATTATTATTTATAAATTAGCCCGATCCGATCCTCAGGGACCCACAGAAAGTCCACATTTTTGCCGGGAGCTCGGAGGAAGCAAAAACATAGATCGACTGTAGGTGCCTGAGGACCGGATTGAAACACACTGGTTTAAGTCATTGAATTAAACAGTCAAGTTTAGGATATTTGCATGTACTTAAAAAGCAATACCATGAGAATCATGAGATTGGCTTTAATTGCAAAAAAGATGTGATCACCTTTTTGTTTACTTCCTCAACAGACCAAATGCATCATGCAGAATGATTTACTTTAGCTTTAAGACAATGAGACTAAATGACTGTCATCGTACAGTCTTTTTAAGATCCATAAGGTTATTATTTAAGTGTATAATACTCAAGAGCTAAAATTACACATATACATATTATTGTTACTGAAGGTTACCGTTTTCATCCTTTTCCACCAGGTATGAAATGACCATTTATCCAACATCCAACTTAGAGTCCAGGTTAAGACTGTTGGGGGGGTGGCCTGGAGCCTATCCTGGGATGGGGTACACCCTGGACAGGATGCCAGTCCACGGGGGTGCACATATACACCCACATGCAAAAAAATCATACACCACCAGCAATTTACAGATGCCAGTTAGCCTAGCTGCATGCGGTTGGACTTTCTGGGGGCAATCAGAGTACCCAGGGAAGAAAATCCACACACAAAATCCACACACACAGAGCGGCAGTGGGATGCAATCCCCCCAGCAAGAAGCCATCATTTTCAGATAACGACTTCTGAAAAGGCTCTTTTATGATCTCAAATTTAAAGAGAAATGGTTGTGATCTGTTTCATATTTTACCAGTTTGTGTCCAAGCCGTAAGGTGCACAGATCACCATGACGCTCTTGGTTACAGCGAAGGCTGCCTTTGCAATGCAGCCTAATCTGGGCACAGCCGGCATGGTCCATCTAACCACCTGCTCGCCAAATTTTTTAGCCACTGATGAGAAAGTCCAGCTAAGAGCGTTGAACTAATAATACTAAACAGGGGCCAGGAAAAACTTCAGCTGTCATTTCTCATCTTGGCTTTTAACATAAAGCTCTTTTCTCCATTTATTTTGCCTTCACTCTGAATTTAATCGGCCGCCCAAAGTTTAATTGGTTTCTTCTTCTCTGTCTCATTTCTCATCTCTTGACGTCCTTTAAATGAGTAGAGATGGGTAACAGTGGGTCTAATTAAGGTTTCAGCTGAAAGGGGCTAAGTGTGTTAGGAACCAGGTAAATGAACAGGAGTTTTTTTTAGAAATAAAAAGTACTTTGAATTATGATAGATTATCTGTGAAAATGTTAAATAGAATTGTGCAAGTGTGCAGCTCATTTTCCTTTCTGTGAGATGCATGCTTGAGTTATTTAATTTTTTTCCCATTGTCCAAAAGGGCTTTTGTTTTTCATGTATGTCACTTTCTTTCACTTCCTCCCTTTCCTACCCATCCCCTGAGTCCTGGAGAGGAGCCCCCTTCTTGTCAGACTTTCCATCAATGCCCACCCCCTTGTCATGTGGTTATGTTCATCATCACAGCCTGAGAGCATCTCAGCGATTTTCATCCCGATAGAGGTCAGCGCGTCAGAGGCCAATGATAGCACGCATCATGATAACGATTTGTGTGGCGTAATGGAGTCATACCCTGGAATATCAGCGGGTTTAGATGCTGTGTCCATGATTAAAGGTCACCAGGTCAAATCCCAGGGCTGGCTGAGTGATTGCACCTTTGGATCCTTGAGCAAGGCCCTTAAGCCCAGTTGCTCCAGGGACTGTCTGACCCAGCTTCCTTGATTGTTTGTCACTCTGAATATTAGTATCTGCTAAACGATGTAAATGGAATTGCTGTGGTTATGAGCTTCAACTCATCGTTTCCAGTTGTTTGTCCTTTTTAAATACAGACGACTTACCAGGTTTCAACATCCTTCAAGTGTGTAAAGTGTATTTTTTAAGGATCGAAACAAATCTGATTTCCAATTATATACCTGCTTAAAAGCTTCCCAGTGTTACTGATAGTATGCGTAACTACAGTATTTTGCTCACATTCCCAAATAGTACTTGTTACGGTATATAAATTCCCATTTATTTTTGCATGTGATATTTCACTTGTCTGCAAAGTTGAGAGGCTGCAGTGTGTACTTTCAGAAGCCCCAGCATGTCACCCAACCTGGGTACATGGGACTGGTGTTCTTTCGGTTTTTTTCCCACAAACCTCTCAAGTTTTCTTACAAGCCCCCTTTATATTTTGGCAGACCTTATCATGTGTCCCGCCTGACCCCCCCGAGGGGATGCACAGCCATGTGCCCCACACTCCCTGTAAAGAGGTTATTGAAAATGCCGGCTGGTTGGGAATTTACACATTTATACAAGCAGAGTATTGTTAGTTCACAGCTCCCGGCTAATGGGATCTGACCACAGCTCCCTTTGCAACACGTTTGCATATTCTTCTGTTTCTGTCCTGGTTTTTCTCCAGGGGGTGTGGAACAGAACCTTATCACAGTGGACCCCCCATATCCATAGGAAAGCTTCACGGTTATTATGACCATGACCCGGTAAGGGGGTTTTAAAAGGACCAACTTTTATACACATAGGTGGATTTTCTATGCTGTTTAAGTGTAATAAATAAGCAGCGTCTGGTTTTAATCATCCATCCAGTCATCTTCCTGCTGCTAATGCTGGTCTGGGTCTCAGAGGGGTCTGGTGCTCATCCCAGGAAGTACATGGTGATGGGCTGGGGACGGGACCCCCGGGATGGGACTGCATCCATAACTGCAGCGAATATTCATGGAATAATGCAATGGCTTTATTTTAACAGATGACCAACTTGGACAGTGATTTTGCTGCTGTAGTTTGGTCAGATATTGGTCAAACATATGCACTGGCTTTCATTCAAAGATTTTTTATGCACTTGCAGCAGTGACTATTCCAATGCAGCGGCAGAGGTGTAAAGAAAAGCAGAATAAACCAACATCAGTCTCTTACGTGTCGTTTTGGGGCTAGTTTGTCCCTAAGCCCCAGTGCTGAGTCGAAAAGAGCAACGGTCAGTAAGCGGAGGGGCACCGTCTCCAGGTGGACGGCCTGCAGATGAGCAGTGTTACTTTGCGAGCTACTTGTCCCATCAGCGTGTATTTATATGAGGCTCCTCGTTGGTGGAGCTGGGTGCCAAAGTATCGGCAGGCCAGGGTGACATCCAAGTATGCTCAGAGTGCTTCTGACGTGCATCCGTCATTGACAGGCTGACAGCTGGCTCCAGTACACAAGTAACCAATGGTGGAATACTGACCTTGAGGTACCTACAGCCCAATCAGAAGTCACACTCCACCAAAACAAAACAAAAATAAAATGGGGAAGGAATGAAAACCATTTGCAAGGATGTTGTCTATGTCATAAATTTGATGTAATCAAGCAGTACAGAAGATGGATAGATGGATGGATTGATTACCGCTACTACAATTGTTGTTAGACTGATTCTGTAAAAGCTGCTTATTAGCTTATTATTATTCAAGATATACTGCAGTGTTAATTAAACCCCACTTGCATCATTTTAAATGTGAAAGCTATGAAAGTGTCCTATAGTGGCATATTGCCTGATATCTTCAGGGTTTGGAGTTCACATCCTGACTCTGCCCTATATGTTTGCATGTGTGTGCATGAGTGTGGAGTATGAATGTTCTTCCCTGTGCTGAAAGGCTCCCTTTGACCTGTCCTGAAGCATGATTCCCAAAAAGCTCCGGTTAGCAACTTACGTAGTTGGAACCGTTCCGTTGAAGAGTTCCAACTATGCACGTTTCTAACGTTATTAGCAACTATACGCTTTTTGGAAACGAACCCCAGAATAAGTGGGTGGAAAATGTTGGCATGGTTGGAACAGCAGCTGCGGGAATCTGTTCACGCCAAACGTATAGGTCCTATGCTGGGCGCCTATTGAACTGTTACTAATGTATTTTACCGGGACATAGAATAAGTGACGCTTTACCAACTTTACGAGTTACCATTTTTAACGACACGTGCGTAGAACCTGTATTTTACATGTTTGCCTGAGGTGAAACGTATCTGCCTTCATTATAAAGCGCGTTCCCGTCCGCCGAGTGGAAAGCTGCTCATTCGAGCACATACAGGCGAAGGGGCGGCGGCGCGTTTCACTTTCCTCAGTAGGATGCCAGTGAAATGGGGAAGGACAGCCAGGGACAGACTCGGGATCCAACCGGAGCAGGTAAGCGCCATGTAAGATGTCCTCAAACATTAGTATAGTCAGCGTTTCTATTTTTACTATTCCAGCCGTGGCCAGGTCTCAAACGTTTGCATTCAGTTTGAAGTGTATTTTTTTCGGGTTGAACAAAAGGATGGATTCATTGAAAGTGTGTCTGCATGGTGCAATCTCCTCCGTAGATATTTCTCTTATAAGCTTAGTGATCCCCTACATTCATAAACAAGCAGCACTAATTAGTACATTTGCTGACATGAAGTCATGTTTGACCTGATATTGCAGATTAAACGCGTGTACAAGCTGAATTAAACTTTCTTCACCTTGAGCTGCTGTAGGAAAGTTCGGATGATGCATTTAACGCCCTTATATTGTAGATCAGTTAACAGTTGTGAACTCAACATAGTCTATAAAAAATACTCCTTTTCTGAATTATGACAACACCAGACTTCGGGTAGACACATCTGCCCATCTTGAGAAGTTGATCATTCAATTAATAAAGTCTGAAAATAAACAATAAAGGAATCGATATATATGTACCGGTTTAATTTCTGATGTCGCACTATCCTAATAAGAATAAAGAGTACTTAAAACACGTGTAAGAAATTAGGCCTATTCATTATAATTTCGCCCTGTGTGTTTGGTATAGCTGGATATGATTACATTTAAAATGTGGAAAGATTTTCAGTATTATTCTCCCAGTTTTAGTTTGGCTATATTGATAACCGATTTTTTGATCGGCTATAACACTAGGATTGTAGGGAGCTTCGTGTAGGACTAATTGCGATATTTACTTCTTAGGGAGTATTGAAAAGATTAATAGTCGTTGCTTGATATTTAGCAAGCTTTCTGGAATTAAATTATATGTGAGTAAAGTTCGCTTTGCTGCTATTCCGACGTTTTAAACGAAAGAAATAGCTGTCTAGCACGAATAACGTTTATATAATATTAGTTGCTGAGTTTGGGACACAGATGTCTTGTTAAAAGTGAAGTTTAGCATTTGGGTCTGCAGATCTGTCTGGTATTAGCAGAATAGAAATGTTGAATCGTGATGATATAAGCCCAGATATAGATAATTACTTTAAGGTTGTCAGAAACATTATTATTTAAGTGACTACGTATTGATATTAGTCTTTGAGAGGAAAGTTTTTTTTTTATTATTTTTTTTATTTATTCACAAACATGATACATGCCGTTAATGTTGTAACCCCTGTAGGTAAAAAAGTCAGTTGTGCATAATGCTTTTATGCGGCCGCTTGAACGTTTTATTTAACTCATATGGGAATGTCAGGGTCTGTAGCGTCCGACCCGCCCTGTGTGACCCTGTGATCCCATTTGACCAGCAGGCATTGCTGGCCGTTCTGCCTTCCCCCTTCTCTTAGTTCCTAGTCTTCCCTAATGTGTTTTTCTTGGTCCCTAGACTGCCACACAGCATAGTGAGCTGAGTATTAGGCTGGGTCATTTTTCAACTTTTTTGAAGGTATCAAGTTTGGACTGGTTGAGATATTTAGCACATATGGTAATATGACAAAATAAAAAAAATTCACCTTGTTATATGAAACCAATTTTTCAGGAAACATTTTCAAAAATAGTGCACTATAATTTGCTAATATTATTCATGTTAATCACCAATATTGATCAAATTACTGAGCAGAACATACATATTGGCAAAGATAATCAAAGTTTTCACAATTACACCAGAGAAATAAATGTTTGTAGTCTTAAACGCACGTCTAACATCTATTATATAACCACAAATGTCATCATAACTTTCAGTATAAGACCCCATCGAAGCAAATGCGGGTCTCATCTGCCGGCTTGTAACCTTTACAAGAATGTGTCTGTGTCTTGATTCCAGTCCATACACAATGGCAGAAGCTTCAGATGTCAGCTTTACTGCCCTCTCAACAGTCTGAGAATGTGAGGGTCGATCTGGTAGCTTCAGCTGTGTGCCGTTCTCCAGTGCAGCGTGAAGATCGCTGTCGGAGAAGTGTTTAGTCAGGGCAGGTTCACAGATGCCAGGATGTGACAGATTGATGGAACATGAGACGTGCTCGTGGAGAGTAGGTCCTTTGCTTGCTTCTTCCTCTTCAATCTCTCGGTTTTTGCCTCGGCTCTTCTCATTGTCTTTCCTGCCTCTTGATCTACTGATCTACTGATCTACTGATCCCAACTGGAATGAACCTTTTGGTTCATACTTTGCTCTCTCATCTCTCAAGTACTCCCTCCTCAAGTGAAACCTTCTTACTTGGAGGGCACAAGCAGACTACAGTATATGTTGAGTTTGACAATTTTCAATTGGGCATCTCACACATTTGTCATTGCAGGGTCGAATAGGTAGATGACAGGTGCACACAGAAATGTTGAAAAGTTTGTCAAGGCTTTCGTCCAAATTTTGTTGCTGGACTGTTGAAAGCATCTTCCAGTTGATCTTCCTCATCTTCTGGAAACAAGCTTTATCTATCTTCTTTACAATGTAATACTCAACATAGAGTGGCAACCGTGGGTTCACTGATCGCCAGACCTCAATAACATCATTTGCAATTAATTTGGAAGTGTCATATTCTTTCAAATCGGGATTGCTGTTTTTAACAAAATAGCTGTATTGAATCACTTGACACAACGTCGGAGGCTCTGTTGTATCCAAAGGGGACGGTTGTCCACAGAATTTCTTGCTGCTCTCTGTTCTAGTCAATACTGTAGTAGATTTTCGCTTTATCAACATTATAACATGCAAAAAAGCACTAAAAATTAAATATTCCAGGGAACAGCATAATGTAAAACAACAATGTCAAGAACAACAACTAATGTAAAAGAACAACAACTGGAGCTTGCAGTGCACAACCCTAACCCTAACCCTAACCCTAACCCTAACCGGATATATGCGAAAAATTAGACAGAAATCTGACTCGTTATCCTGAAAGTTTTCCCTTTTTTTCAACATGTGTAAGGTTTTTCTTTGTTACTATATATAAATCTATCAATCTCAGTCAGTCCAACATCATATTTACAAAATCAACCCACCCTACTGAGTGCCTCATTCTGCAAATCTGGGGGTCGTGGGTTTGAGGCTGGCACATCCCACTCTTCCATGTTCTGGATTTTGTTTGACTTTTGTTCCCCAGTGTTTGTAATTTTGGGTTTCCTACTGTCATCTGTCAGGTTCTCCCATCCATGGTCCACCCTCCCTGTGTTAGGATTTGTTTTTTTGTACCTGTCTTTTGTATCAGTCTTGTATTTCCAGTGTTTAATTTTTCTAGTTCTGTGAGCTCTCCCTGTTCATTGGTTCCACCTGTTGCTCATATTGTGTTCTGTCTGATTGGTTAAGTTAATACTTCTCTCCTGTGTCCTCGTTAGCTCAGTCTGGTTTGTGTATTTAAGTTTTTGCCTTGGTTCATTTTCCCAGGTGGTCATTGTGTTAGTTTGTGTCAGAATGTGTTGATGCTCTGTTTGGGCTTTCTGTTGCCCGTATTGCTCTCTTCCCCTTGTTAGATGTTTTTGTGTTAGTGCTTGTTTCCCCCATTTGCCTTTGACCCCTCATGGTCCTTTACTTTGTGCCTTACCCAGTGTTCAGTTCCCTAATAAACCCCCTTGTCTTGTGAGCCACCAGTGGGTCGTCACCTTCTCCTGCCTGCACCATGGGGTAGCATGAAAGAGTGTTTGGTGCTAATGGTCTGTGCTGCTCTTAGAAATTAGAAGCCCAAATGATGATTGTTTAATATAACTGTGTTTTTCTCACATCATGAAATATTTATTTTCTGGAACAAAAGTCCATGTTTGCCGTTCGAGAAACACATTTTTCAGCTTCATCAGAACATACAAATTAAATTTTCTTGTATTGGAGTGCTCATTTTAATATTGTAATGATTAAATGAGAGAGGATCCAAATACTGAGGTACCTGGTTTATATCTGCATTCCTTGAACTTGTATTCCAGTGCACAGGCAATAGATAGACAAGCCGATAATAGCGCAAGAAGAAAACCGAATCGAAATCATGTTCCAATAGCTGTAGTGTATAGACTGTCTGAATGCTGCTGAGTTAAATTGAACAACACAGAAAAAATAACCTAATCCGCAATACAAGATGACGAGCTGAGGAAATGGTGGGTCAGACAGTGGCCATACAGAGGGGCTGGCTGGTCACAAAACAGGTACTCCGGGGCACATACTCGGCCTAACTAACAAACAAGTCGCTGTAAATCTACACCAATTAACCAGGTGTATGATCCTAGAATCCAGGTGTAGTAGGGTGGGAACTAGCTGGGATGCAAGCCTGACTGATATATTGTACCAAATTTCCTGCAATACATGGGCATTGTTTTAAATTTATTTTACGAATAATAAAGTATCGCTGCTGCCACACCCCTCCAAGTTTGAGGTTTGGTTCCTTCCTCTGCACATGTGCAGTTTGCTTCTTCTCCCATGGAGAGTGGGTTTCCGTATTGGAACCCCAGTTTCTTCTTGCAGTCCAAATATATGCCATTAGGCTAATTAGCATTTCCAAATTGCCTGTAGTGAATGGTTGTGTGTATGTGCCTTGTGTATCTGCTGCCTGGGAGGGGCTCCTGCCCCCACCCCCAAGATTCTGCCCAATATATGGCAGTAGATGTATGATTTCAGAATTATCCATTATATTATTAAGAATATGAATATACCTTTAAAGACATGTTTTAGATGGATAATGGACCATTTTCTAGAAAGCTTTAGAAGCTAAATACCCGAAGTCATCATCCCTACCATTTGCTGGGGAGCTGCACTTGTTACAGTAAATACATTTATATTGCATACAAAGTAAGTGGAAGTTTTTCTCCAAAAATCTAGGATTCTTCAATGAATATTTATGATGCAATCCTGTACTGGACAAGTGGTTAGAAAATAGATGGATGGATTTATTGTGAAATTTCTAAAATTATGTAAAATATTCATATATGTTGTTGTTATGAAAATAAGGCGTAATAGCAATGATGACAGCTAAGTGATGCTGCCACAGCGTTAACCAGCACTGGAG